CCTAATCTTAACCCTGATAATTTATTTATCTTTAAATGACATACTGTATTCTCTACCTCTCAAATTTAACCAGATTGCTTGGTTCAGGGATTTTTTTTAACATACATACAAAAAAATTACAAATCTATTAACAACTTCTTTAAAACAGCAGAGAAATAAGAACAAAGACATTTGTTCATTTTTAGAGAAGGTAGAATAGCAAAATCACAAAAGTTTCTCTCTGCCCATCTTACACTGCATCTCTATCCTTTCAGATGAGCCTCAGTTGCCTCAGTTACCATTGTAAACAATGTGTGCTTCAATGAAAGAATGTATTTGATCCCTATTAGTAAAGAAACAGGCACATGTTGTGAAAATATAGCAGGTATGATTTATCTTGCAAAACTATCTTCAGTTCATGCTTTCTAGATGTTTCAGATGCATCTGATATATGCCACAGATGTACTAATGAAGAAATACAAGTGGAAATATTTGGGTAAGAGAATCCAAATTTCCAAGATTTAGAAATATCCTTATTTTATAGGACTATCTATCTAATTCACCTTTGGATAAATATATGAGTGAATATACAAAAAAGTGAGAAGTGTGAAAGTATATCTCTATGTGTACACATAGACATAGATATGCATACACAAACATACTATTAAATATCTCATGCTTTTTATTTGCTTGTTTTAAAAATGGTATTTTGGATATCTGCTCTCCCAGTTAATAAAGCGTCTTTGTGTTCTTTTATATGTAATCTGCCAGTAGTTATGAATGTAGACTTCATCAGCTAAGGATTTAACTTAAGGACCAGTTAAAAAGACATATGTTTGTAGAAGTAATAGATCTTTGTTTAAGGTTAATATGTAAACTAGCCCCAGGCAGATTTAGTTTGAGTTAAACAATTGGGCATAATTCATACCTTGTTTACTCCTAAAGCAATAAAATGTTATTCTATCATACCTAAAATCTTCACCTCATAGTATGCAGAACGATTAAAATTGTATGAAATTATGCCAGGGAGAAGTAAAACATATGTAGGGTTTTTATTCAAGTGTACTATGCCCCAGGAACATTATACAAACTACTTTGTAAGGAAAATATCTCACATCTTGGCTTTACCAGAAAGACTAGGCAATCTATAAGTTCAGTACAACCTATTTTAAACCTAGGATTGTTTAATTGGCAACATGTCTGTCTTCTGTTTAAAGAAATACACCAATGTGTGTAATGATCTCACAAAAGCAGCAAAGTTTGGATTAGCACAAAAACAAACACAATCACTGAATATTTTCACATTTGAAATATGGTAACTCTGCTTTAACTGAATGTTTTAAGACTGGCTATTGAGTTTGAAAAGTCTATTCTTTTCGATTAGAAGAATAGTGATATAGATATTGATGATATATAGATGACAGAGAAGACAGAAAGAGAGTGTGAGAGAGAGAGCCTTCAAGTCATTGACGAATTGCCTGGATGAGTCCCTGCAATTTTCTTGGGAAGATTTACCATTGGTTTTTTCCTAAGACTGAAAATGATATACCTAAAATCACACAGTTGGTTCATGCCTAAGGTGGGATGAACTCTTGGTTTCTAGTCCAGTATTTTAATTTTTACACCAAACTAGTTCTCAAAAATATATGTGTTAGTCCCATAAAAATGCTTTATTGGTACCGCTTTACTAATCACTAAAAGTTCACATTGAGATTTAACTGTCAGATGGATCTGAATTTAATTTTAATGCAGACTGTTATGTTTTCACGAAAAAGTTTTTTCATATATTGCGTAACAAAATAATTTTGTTCCGCTAGATTTCAGCCTAATATGTCATAATAAATTTGAATAACACAGCATAGGCAAAATGATAATTTTATGACTTATTAATGAAGTGCAACTTCATTGTCTTCGTCTCAAAAAATGTAGCTGTGTAAAAGAAGGGTTTTGTCAAAATGATACGATTACATCTCTGTTAGCAGAGGTTTCTTAAAAGTAGAATGGTTAGTTGGTTTTCATGAGATCCGGAATTCTACCAAACTAAACATATGCATCAGAGAAAGATGCACTTATTTCAGAAAACAAGTTAAACATATTCCTAAATATCTGCCATGAAATTTGACTCTATGATTTGTCTAAGTTTCTGTGTTAGTTCTTTAATAGAACTATTTTCCTTGAAGGCCACATTAACTCTGGCAAGGTGTTGAAAAAGGTATGGAATGAAGAGGAACATGTGTGAATAGACTGATCCTACATTCCCTTACATTTTGAGACATTTCATTCATAAAAATCCATTCTCATCACCTTTCATATGACTCCATTTTTTTCTAAAACTCTATCTCTTCTCAGCATAGCAATTATGCGCAGAAAAACAAAGGAAATAAATGATAACGTACAAAATGAATATGAATTCTAGAAATGGTATACAGCCTCAACCCCTCACAGTTGTTGCCTTCTTACAGCCTCAACCCCTCACAGCTTCAACCTCATACTGTCTACCGTGGACCTCACCCCATTCCTAAGAGGTCCTTATAGGGGGTGTGCATAAATGCACCTGTCTTTTCTTTGTTACTTGTTAGTATTTCATGGAACTGCCTACTATCCCTGTCTTACTGTCCCCATTTATTTATTGCCTTGGTTCTTGTCTATGTTCATACTTATACTTTTTATCTTGTACATGTTTGACAAACAAACAAACAAACAATATGCTCTCCTTTAACAATTATAATTATCAGAATAACAGACTTGGAAGGGATCTTGGATGTCTTTTAGTCCAACCATCAGCTAAAGTAGGAGACCCTATATTATTTTTCAGACAAATGATTGTCCAATCTCTTCTTAAAAACCTCCAGTATGAAGCACCCACCACTTCTGGAGGTAAGTTGTTCCACTTGCTCTAAATAAATGTTTGTATACATATTTCATATACAAAAGGTATGAAAATATATGTGTATCATTAGTAAAATGGACATATAGTGTACAACTACCAAGTAATATGTAACTTGAAATGGAACTGCTATCAAAACTGCTATCATAACTCAGATTACTTTTTTAATGAGTTTTGATCCCTATTGTCTATTTAGTGGTAGTGTTAAAGTACATAATGGTGCAGTTAGAATTATGACTCAAAATAGAGTTATATAGAATTGTGACTCCAGATAAAGTAAAAATATGATTTCCTTCAAATAAATGTTCACACAATCTTATTTTACCAGAACAGTGAAATGGTAAAAAAAAAAAAGATTGTATGAATAATAAACAACACTTACAAAAAAGTTATCATGTTATCACAAAAAAACTGGCTTAGATAGGAATACTTTTTAATTAGGAAGGATTTTTTCCTTCTTTCTATGAGTAAATTTAGACTCTTGTTACTATTTATTAAATACAAATCCCAAACTTGGAATACATCAGCATTCATATGTAAACACTGGCAATCTCACACACATTATGAGAGCCCCAAAATATAAGTACAACAGTGAATGTGAACAGTCAACAGTGAATGTGAACAGTGAACAGTAAATGGTAATATGCATGCACTGCACAATTATCTGCAAATTCTGCTCATTTCAAGGGAAAAGTGATTATTAAAACCTTGAGTCAAATAATTAGCAGGAGATGCTGTGGCTGTGTAGGTGGATTGTGGGTTAACACAGAGTCAGTTGTGCATGTTTAGCCAGAGTTTATTTCGGCTTGCATCTGTTAGTTATTCTGTAACCAAGCAAAGTGTGTGTGCTTGTGTATAGTCTTTTATGGTTTTTAAGCAAGAATTATGCAGAAAACCAAGCTCTAAAGCAATTATATCTGAAAAGAAACCAAGAATCCTTTTCCCTTTTATCTAACACTTAGAAAGACAAGGAGGTGATGGTGTATAAAACTTTTCAAATCCAAACCCTTTCAAGTTCAAGATAGGAATGCCAAACAGAGTTCATCAGACTTAAAACAGAGCTTCCTCTTCTGCTACAGAATAAGAAATGTATACTGATGCCCTAAGATAACACTTTGAAGATAACAGTTGGACTTATGTATCTAGTCTGGAAAAAGTGGTACAATCTCTTGGCTTTTCTTTTTTACTTTTGCTTTTGCTTTGTGTGATCATTTATATCCCTATTCTCAACCATGAAAAGTGCCCTCAAAATGGCTAAGAAAGCAATAAGATTAAGAAAGTAAATTAAACAATAATAATAAAAATAAAATTCAGCCACAATCTATTAAGTAATAAATTGTATTTCTATTAAAAATGAGAGTTAATGAGAAATACCACCTTTTTCTGGGATCATAAATTTGTATAGTTAAGTTTGCACTTTCAAACAAATCTCAACAAATGCAGTTAAAACTGTGATAAATTGTAAATCAGGCAACACTGTTCCGTGTTGGTTGGGAATTGTAGAAATGATATCCAACACATTCAGAAGAAGACATGTTAAACGTTCTGTATTGTAGAATAACTATATGTGATGCAAAAATAGATATCCACTATGTGACAAGTATTTCTGTTGATTCTAATCTGCTTTGATTGTTCTGATAAATATAGGTTTTGAATTTTCATTTGCAGTTCAAATATACATACGTACATACAAATATACATACATACATACATACATACATACATACATACATACACACACACACACACACACACACACATATATGCATATATACATAAACACATACCTATATCCAACTGAATTGCCTTGAAAACTGATTTTTTTGAAATAAACATATAACCACTTGATATTTAATACAATTGCCTAAGTTAGTTTTGTCATTTTAATTTTCATATATTTGGCAAATCTTTCAAGAAAACCTAGTGTTTCCCCACCTTTTATTACAATATTATAAAAGCAATGCCATTTAAAACTTTCTGCAATGTATTGCAAACTTTCTTAAACATAAATATATCTGCTTCTTTGTTTTTTCACATATTTATTCATCTTTTGTGATGAAAACTTATTTAATTAGGAAAATATGAAATCACAACTATAAAAGAAATTTGAAATATTCAGCAGCTTTTTTGTGGATTTGTATTGATCTACAAGAAGTTATTCAAGATCCAGCATTTTGTAGAATGGAGTGAAACATAATATAAGACCAAATGAAGTATGTTTATTACAATTTTCATGTTGTTCTTTTTGTTTCATTTGACTTATATCAATAGTTCATGGATGATTCTGTGTTCTGTTGAGAAACTCCCAGTTCATTTCTTATTTCATATAATGGATTGTTAATTCTTCGCTGGCCAAGATTAAGATCCTGATAGCTGGATTGTAAAAAAACAACTGTATTTCATTTGCAATTGGATTAAGTCATTAAATAGCAACATTAACTAACAACAATATCATATTCAATGCAGTGTATACATTTTGGGAAGCATATACATGATCACTGAATCAGACATACTTCTTTTACATTCTGTTGCTTTAAGTTACAGAAATAAATATTCAGAGCAGAACACTTGTCATTTAGTGTCTGAATCCAAAGCTGAAAAGATGCAATAGTCTTGCTGTTCTTTCTTCACTGCCTTTTAGCATTCATGTCATATCTTTATTTGTTCTTCAAATTTGATTCCACTAAATGAAATGTTGAGACAACAGAGTGTTCTGTGAACCAGAGAAAATAAATATCAAGACTGAGTTTGGAGAGGAAAATCTTACTATGAACTACTGTAATGTTATCAATTTTGCAAATAAAAGTTTTGAACACATATGAAAAGAGTCCAATGTGAAATATATTTTTGGAAAACGTAGTTGAGATTTAGGCGAGGCTGAACATGATACTATTTGCACTGTTCAGCCCTGTGTATCTTTATTTTTAAAAGATATCAAGTTATTTGGGGGAATTGGGAGAAATAGCAGATTTTTTTTTAAGGACTGAGAATCAAATAACAGGCAGAAAGATAAGGGTTTTCTTTGAAAAATTGTGTTAATTTATTGACTTTATCAAAAAGATTAAGGATTATGGGGAAGGACCTACCTTGTTAGGTGACATAGGTGACAGCAATACTTATCTCTCTTTGTTTAAAGTATCTTAGGAGGAGTCATTTTGATGATAAAATGAGGAAGAGTGGAAGATTGTGCTCATTGTCCTGAGTTCCTGGAAAAAGAAAAAGAGAGATATAATAGCTAAATTACTATGATTAAATCCACTAATTTTTTTATATGCAATAAGATTATTGATATGCAAGAACAATTGACCTCCATACATAGTCTGAAATAATCATCTCATAATCATCTTCCTAGCATTTTTCTCACAGCAGCAGGGTCTGCTTTTTGGATCAACAAGCACCATTTTACATGATCAAACTCAGCAAGCAGGTCATGTCTGCATTTTGATGGAGTCGGCTGTAGATCCAGAGCTTGCAATAAAAAAAATTGACCAACAGGCTTATCACCTGGGCTTGACATCGGTTTGGGCAGTTTTCAGCTCAGCACCACCATGGCAGATGGGCAGTATCCAGTGGCACCACTAGGAAGAGCAAACCTCACCATCACATAGTCTGAAATAATAAACTTCAGCATAGACATGTCCAATAAAATATACTGATCTTCCTTGTTTCCCATATATATTTAAAATATGTGACTATTTGCTGTCATGTAAAGAGTCACTGAAGCAAAATAAATTGAATTATGGGGAAAAATTACTACCTTATATCTGGATCTACAACACAGGGTGATTAGAGATACATTTTCAGCTCTTTTCTATATCTCATTCGGTCAATTTTGCTGTGACCTATGATGTTCTAAAATGACAATTATACTATCTTACTATTTACAGATACTATCAATGTAATAGACACCGATAAAGAAAAAAACAGTATATTAAGTTTCCTTTTCTGATGCCTTGAACATTCACTGGGCAATTCTAAATATGTTTCCTGAGTGCATAGTATGTTTAGGCATTCATGGATGTTATTTGTAGAAAAAATGTGCCCTATCACTCTAATATTAGATGCCTTTCAGATAGTGTTTCTCTCATAGATATTAAGTGAAAGTTTCATTGGAAAGTTTCAAGGTTGAGAAATGAGAGAATTATAGGCTTTGATGGGATTGTTTGGATCAAATGTAACCTCCTACTCCCCAAAAAATTGCAGTTGCAGCATTCAACATAGATGGTTGATCAGTTGCTGAATAATTTTTTTAAAAAAGGCCCCACCACCCCTCTGTGTAATTAGTTCCACCGTCAAACTGTTCTTATTGTTAGAAAATCTTTCCTAACTTTCATCTGGAATTTGCACTCCTGTAATATAAAACCATTGTTCAGGGTCCTGCTCCTGTGATGATAGAGAACAGATCTTGCCTTCTGTGTGGGATTTTTTTCAGGTATTTGAAAAATATTATTATATTTCGCCCCCAAGCACACTCAATCTTCTCATTCCAAAACTAAACATTTGCAGGTCCTTCATTCTGTCTTTGTAAGACTACATTTCTAGAAACCTGATCATCCTTATTCTCTTTCTCTGAATTGCTTTACAACTATCTAAGTTGTAATGCTCAAGAGTAGAAATCAGGTGTGATTTAATGAAGAAAGGGGACAATTAGTTCCAATAAGTTGGAAATTTTATTTCTGTTGATGTAGCAATACAATCTACCTTGCTCACATGCATGTGACACTGATATCTAAACCTAATTGACCACACCCGAGAAAAGAGTGGGACTGCATTTGCATCAATTGGGACTGCATTTGCGTCATTAAACATAGTATAATGACTATATTTTTCTTTGTATATAAAACTCGGCTGAGAGAGGGGGAAACCAAATTTCGTGAAATAAAAATAGCATTTGTATTTCGCTATTTCTTTCTACCACTTCCCAAGTCATTATAGTTGTGCTTTTAAAGTTGTAGCAACGTTTCGGCAGAATCTCATCTGCCATCATCAGGCTTCTGTATTGTGTTCGTCTGTGAGTCAGACTTTTACAGTTGTTTCAGTTTTAAATTTGGAGCTAGCCTACTGCTGTGCCAGAATGGTTTTTTCTTCATCCCGATTGGTTGGGAGTCTTGGTCTGTGTTTATTGGTCTTGGAGTTTGCTGTGTTCTGCTTGATTCGTGTTTCTAATATCTTCTGTCTGTTTTGTGGCTTTTTTTGTCTTGGTTGGCTGGCAACATTGTGTTCTTGTATTGGAGGCTTTTAGTGCAGCTTGGCTCCGAGTAAATGGACGGCTATCATTTGTTAGGAAGCTAGGTTTCATCTGGGTGCCTGGTTGGGGTGTGTTTGAGAAGGAGGTATCAGGGGTCATCTGTTTGTGCCCAGGTGTTTGGCTGGCTTGTGGTGTGGAGATTTTTTTGTTTGTGTATGCAGGCTTCCAGATAATTGACAGTCTGGTTGAGTCATCTCTTCTATTCATGCTTTCAGGTCTTTTTTTAATCTCTATGGCTTCTCTGATTATTCTGTAGCTGGGGTTTTCTATAGTGGCTAGGGTTTTGGTGCCATTCCTAGATGTACTGATCTACAAAAAAACAGATGGCACACTAAGACACATCATATACTAGAAGAAAACACACACAAACCACTACCTCAACGCCCAATACCACCACCACCCAGCACAGATAAACTCCATAGCCAAAACACTAATTGCCAGAACCAAACACCTGGCAGACAAGACACACATAAAGACTGAACTATGCACCCTGACTTAAGTACTGACAGCTAACGGCTTCCACAAAAGCAAAATCACTGGCTTGATCCACAAAAACACACTGAGACATAATGGAGACCTAGAAGATGAACAGACCTATGGAACAGCTGTCCTGCCCTACATAAGAGTACTACAGACAGAATCAGTAAGATACTACACAGGCATCACATCAAGACTACCTTCAAAGCAGACAGAAAAATAGCAGCCATCCTTAGAAACCCCAAAGATAAAATTGACCCGGAAAACAAAGGCATATATGAAGTCCCCTGTGCATCATGCCCTGCCACATACATTGGACAGACCAATAGAAGAATAAGTACCCGCCTGGATGAACACAAAAATGCAGTAAAAAAGCTGGAACACACTTCCTCACTAGTCCAACACATGAAAGCAACAGGTCATAGCATCGACTTCAATGGCACCAAAACCCTAGCCACTATAGAAAACCCCAGCCACAGAATTATCAGAGAAGCCATAAAGATTTAAAAAAGACCTGAAAGCATGAATAGAAGAGATGATTCCACCAGACTGTCAATTATCCAGAAGCCTGATGATGGCAGATGAAATTCTGCCGAAATATTGCTACAACTTTAAAAGCACAACTATAATGACGTGGGAAAATACCCGAACAAAGCTGAATACCATACATGTAAGTACTTGCGAAAACTTAAAACATATATATATGTTATATATATGTATGTATGTATGTATGTATGTATGTATGTATGTATGTATTATTTGTTTTTAATAATACTGTTCTGAATTAGATATCCTTTGGTTTGATTCAGATGATTTTCTTACATTCTTATGCTCTCAAGATGAAGCAAATATTAGGAACCTTAGAAAGGAATTGTGGAAAAGTTACACAATTTACAATTACAATACAATACAATTACAGGTAGTCCATGACTTCCAACCACAATTGAGCCCAAAATTTCTGTTGTTTAGTTTTACAGCCTTTTTTGCCCCAGTTGTTAAGTGAATCACTGCAGTTGAAGTGAATCTGGCTTCCCCATTGACTTTACTTGTCGGAAGGTCACATAAGGGGATCACATGATTTTGAGACACAGCAACGGTCGTAAATATGAACCAGTTGCCAAGCAGCTGAATTTTGATCACATTATCATGGGGATGCTGCAAAGGTTGTAACTGTGAAAAACACTCATAAGTCACATTTTTCGGTGCCGTTGTAACTGTGAATCATCACTAAATGAACTGTTGTAAGTTGAGGACTACCTGTAAATCCTTGATTAGAATTGAGCAGCAACACTATTTGAATTGAAATATTTTGTTTCATTTTTGGTGATCCTGTGACCTAGAAGGCAGAATGAAAAGGAAGAACACAATGTAGTCATGCAACATTGTATGTTGCCTTGGATCCAAGTCATCATATCCTTAAAATATCTTTTTGATAGATGTCTTGATTTCAAATACCTCCACGGTTACATAAAGCAAATTATGCCACATAACTTAACTTAATCTATATAAAATTTACTTGACCAGATTGACTAATTGAGTAATGTACAGTTGTGTGAAAAAGTCCTGCATGCTTTACGGTTTATGGTTTATGACATTTTTTGGAGAGGCCATTGATTTTATGATATTTTATGCTAACTGTTATGCAAATATTGTTATATTTAAATAAATACTGGTAGTTTTTAAGTGAAAAGCATAAGCTTTTTGCAATTTGGTGCTGTATGGATGGGGATTGTGAATTTTCTTGCATGCTTACAATGCATGCTTACAATGACTATGAAAACAGATTAACTGATGTATACCCAGTGGCATACATGTTGCAATTACTAAGACCGATGCTAGTGTTTTTGTTAACATTTTTATTGTTTGTGGCCCTAAAAAGGACTGTTTAGATAACCAAAGATGGTTATTAATATGAAATTGGCCAGTCCTTATTGCTTATCACCAGGCTGCATCGCTTTGGCATAGAACACCATAAACCGTAAAGTGTGCAGGACTTTTTCACACAGCTTTTTCCTTAAGTTAAAGCCAGGAAACATGAATCACCCGGTATTTGATTATATATGGTAATTCCCAATACATAAGATCAGCTCCCAGAAAGAGTGTGCACATTTGATATTATTATTTATTATCTTGTGGCGTGTATGGAACTAAGACCTTTTGTGTATATAATGTATGTGTGAAAATGAAAATATTTTATATAGGGTAACTTGGTATTTGAAAGGAGAGCTACTCCCTCTTTATGTAAATCTTATAAAGAAATTTCTAGGTAGGGGAAGCTAAAAATAATAAAACCTTATTTTAAAAGATGTTCATACTATATATAAGGGCAGCAGGTTCATCTGTTTTATATCTGGGTTTATTCCAGGCACATTTTGGCAATTTTCATACAAAACACTAAATATGAAAACAAGCAGTTGTATTTCCACTACATGCATTCTTGTTAGATTTGGTAACTGACATTCACTTTTTAATTTGAAGGGTAGAGTCCACTCATCTTCCTGCCTTGTACGTTATTGGAGCACACTAGATACAATGCTATCTAGTGGAGTTTTTTCCATAAATCAAGACAATTGTACAAAATATTATGACTTCTTTGTTTACATTTCCCTGCATTATAGCTATAGAATAAATAATTACTGTTTTATTATTGTTTTTTTCTGGAAGAATTAGAATGATAGGTCAATACCAGATTTGGAACTAGAACATAAAATTTCATTTGCCATGCAATAATCTTTTAATCTTTTTTTAAAAAACAAATCATTACATATACTTATATATAGACAGTTCTCTGTGTGGAATGATACTAGAATGCAGTGTTCTAAAGCACAATGTGCAACTCTATTTAACAAGGCCTTCAACCAGTGGTGGGATTCAAAAATTTTTACTACCAGTTCTGTGGGCGTGGCTTGGTGGGCATGGTGTGGCTTGGTGGACGTGGCTCGGTGGGCGTGGCAGGGAAAGGATACTGCAAAATCTCTATTCCCACCCCACTAACCTGCTTTCCAGCTCCATTCTCCTGTGCAGGGCAACAAAAGAAGACCCAGCCAATCAGCTGGGACTTGGGAGGTAGAGAATATATGGGGGCGGCACCAGTCAGAGGTGGTATTCCGAACTATTCAAAATTTCCACTACCGGTTCTCTTTACTCAAAATTTCCGCTACCAGTTCTCTAGAACTGGTCAGAACCTGCTGAATACCACCTCTGCCTTCAACTCCAGCTTAAGTTTGACATCCGTTTTGAATAAAAAAACAATTTATTATAAATTATTCCTCTTATGGTTTTATACTTATAATATTTTAATTCCATAGATATGTTTGTCCATGGAGATTCTCAGTCATCCAGGTCATGGTTGTCCCAAAGGTGCTTTTTCAAGAGGCAACTGGATGTTCTTGTTTTTCTTTGAAGACGATTCACTTCTCATCCAAGAAGCTTCTTCAGCTCTTCAGAGCTGAACAAAAAGCACCATTGGGACTTAGATCTGTTTCAGATAAAAACTAAAAAATAACTAAATAAACATGAGGATTTTAGAATGATCAATTCAGTTAAAAGACATCCCACGGCAGATGACTAAATTGACTTCTTTGATCAAAGAAAAGACAATATCTGCATTTATTGCTGGCTGGAAACCCCTTATGGAGTTTTTGTATAAAAAGGGGGAAAAATGAACTTATGATTTATGGTTTTGATGCTTAGGCAGGATAGAAGAAGAAAGTTAAGGTGCAATCAAAGCATAAAATGCAGATTTATAATTATGACTGTTATCAAAAATATAGGAGCTACTTCTTTTACCTTTTTTCTTTTACTCTTTTTTTCCTTTCATGGACTTTTCTTTTTCTTTTTTTTCTTTTTCTTATGTTGTATTTGTTTGTAATATTTTTATCTTTCTGTTCATGGCAGTAACTATTTATTCGAATGGAACTTGTATTTAAAAGTTTTTCTTAGGTCTCAAAGATATGTCTCTTACTCCCTAGGATAAGGGTTATCATATGTACATCTTACGTAATCACACATATTTCTTATATTATCCCATTACGCATAGCAGAGAAAAAATAAGAATAATCAAAAGTATGAGATAAAAAAGGAAACCTAGCTAAAACTATTTCACACCAACATCACATATAAATTCTTGCTGCCACATCTGTACACTGTTCATATTTTGTCTTTTGTTTTTCAAACTTCTGATTTTTTTACTTCACCAACTATATTCATAAATATATTTGTATATGCATACAAAACTTCTAACTTTCTTCTTACATACTGTATGTTTTGTGATTACTCTTTATTCATTATATTACCTTTTACATTATATTATATTTTTACATTCAGTCAGTAATCTTTCAGAATCTGTTCATTCTTTCCCATGTTTTCTCATTTTGCTATACCCACTAAGTGCAATCACCTTAGATAGGTGCAACTCCACTGCACTACAGATGTGCATTTAATGAGTCAGCCCATAGTAAAGCAGCCACATTTCTTTTCAAATTTTCATGGTAACCAGGGAAAAGACATAGCTACTACAAGCATAAGAAAAGCAGGAAGTGAGTAAAACAAGTGAACTGTCCCAATGTCATAATGCGAACTCCACCCTTTATCTAAGTGCAATATCATAATACACATATGAAAAGTTAGAATTTGTATCATGATGTCTTTTGGAAATGGACGCTAAAGGATTTTCAGTGGTGGCAATCTGCTGTTGAATGTTTTCCCAGCCAATATTGCCTGACTTCTTTTTCTTTTCCTTTTGTCTGCTTGACAAAGAAAGTTTTTTTAAAAAAATGCCAAGCATTTTGGAAGAAATTTTAATTCTGTATTCTGGCTTTTGCTGCTTTTCTTATTTTGTAGTTGTTAGTTTTCCCATATGTGGAAAATATTCCTATATTGGGGATGAGGGGGTTACTGTAGTTGTAAAACAGTCTGGAAATATGACTGTAGGGTAACATAAAAGTAGTTATACTCCCCAGAATTAAATAAATAATTTAGCAAGCATGCATAACTAAATAGATGCAAAGAACACAATGAAAGATAATAATTATGTAGTAAATATAGATTTAGGAGGAAATTATCAAGATTTGTTTGAGGTGTGGAAATCAGTAGTGTTCCTTGTCTCTCTCATTGCCTTTTCAAGCCCTGATAATTCTGGGGAATAATTTTCATCATTTATGAACTTCCTTTTATTTTTCTGTTGAGCAAATTTTTCATAACTCAAGATATTTCATTTTCTATGAATGAAGACAGTGTTCCAATCATAAAGGAATCTAATATAACTAAATGTGCTTCCACATAGACTCTTTCCTAAACATGATCTGGTTAATATTTTGATATTCAGCAGCGGTGGGAGGAAATAATCTATTTTCAAGAATTAACAGTTCCAGATATGCAACATTGCTGATATTTCATTTGCGAAAGTAACATTTATTTATTTATTTATTTATTTATTTATTTATTTATTTATTTATTTATTTATTTATTTATTT